CGACCGGACTTGTGCTTGATACAGCTGAAGCAACTGTCCCGGTGTGAAGTAACGCCTCACCCTGGAAAGGATGCCAAGCTTCCTAGCTGCATTTTTGGCCATGGATTCAATATATCTGCCGACGTTCAGATTGCACGACAGGTCCATTCCAAGTAGTTGGAGATGGTCGGCTATTGGCATGGATATATCACGAAAAGTCGGAGTCAGCTCAAAGGGACTCCGTTTGGTAGAGACTAGACACGCATGGGTTTTGGTAGCGTTAAATTTGACAAGATTGGCATCGCCCCAATCGGACACTGCCTTGAGCGTCAAATCTAAACGGCTAACCATGGACTCTCGACAAGACTGGATTTCCTCTCCTCTGACCTTTGCATTGGTCAAGTACCTATCTTCAACTGTGCTGTCATCAGCATACGCAAAGGTATTTGGAATTACCATATCATTGATATGCAGCAGAAAGAGAGTTGCAGACAGTACGGAACCCTGAGGAACTCGGCATCTATCGCCATATGTTCGGAAGATTAGTCTTCTAAGACCACTCGAATGGAACGTTCACTCAAGAAATCCGAGATCCAATTGCAAGGGTTAATGGGAAGCCCATAACATGGAAGCTTGCTTAAAAGGCTTGCGTGCCAGACCCTGTTAAAGCTTTAGAAATGTCCAAAGACACTGCAAGTGCTTCGCCTTGCTTTTCTATAGCCTCACATACACTACGGCATACACAAGAAGATCCCCGGTAGATCGCCCTCGTCGGAATCCATACTGGCGATCACTGAGGAGGTCATTGTCTTCAAGGTATGACAGGAGACGGTTGTTGAGTACACGTTCCATAGTCTTGCAGAGTATGGAAGTGACTGAGATAGGTAGCCTTTCGGTGAAGAAAAACATTGTGATGAAACCTGCACGTCGAAGAAGGTTCACAAGCCTCGGAAAACGTATGAAGTCCCCAACCCGCATTGGGACAATGTGACTATGGCCTGAACGCTTAGCCTAGTGCCTAGCAGTGGGACGTATAAACGGGTTGATGATCTTCAAAAGGAGACCCTAATTCGTAGGTTGAGCAAATCTAATTGATAACCTAGAGGCGCTGATTAGGCCGAGTGACTAATTACGTCGTTACGATTGAGAGAATGTTATTAAGACTACTTAAATTCTGTGTCATGTGCATAGTTGTATGCAATATATGAATGTGAAAAGAGTGAAGTAGGTACAGTACGTATAAATGTGGACAGTACAACTGTTTTCGTGTTTTGGCTGTCGTCGGATTTTAATCAGTTGCCCTTTGCGCTTGGTGCATACAGGAAGCACTCAATCGACTTGAAAGTATATATATACACAGAGTAGCTTACTTAATTTGAGGAAATGTTTTTGAGGGTCCGATTCACGGGATTATTTGGAAAATACTAACAACTTTGTCGGACAATATTACCAGTACCTTAAACAATAATTTCTGTTTCAAGACTTTTTACAAAACAAAATAAATTTACCAAAAACAAACTTGTAAGTTTTTTATAATTATTACTACAAAAACCGAACACTCAGAAAAAATTCCTTCGATCCGGCCGGATTTGAACTAACGTCTTCTAGCATACCGTGCCAGACGCTATACCTACTAAGCCACGGAACGAACCAGCGGGCCTCATGAATTTTCCTGTGTGTTTGTTATCGAAGCTAAATATTCTAAGTTTTTGTTGTACTATCTGACAATTTTGAGATCTGTATTTTTAGCAACGCCCCCGTATACTGTCATTAAAATAATTTTTGTGTTGGGTTGCTTTCTTTTGCTACCGCACGCAGTTATCGCCGTATAAAGTGATCTATTTAAATATTTTTATTTTTGAATGAAAGTAAAATGTAATGTATTTATATTAAAAGTCATGGAACAAAACTTATAGTTTATGATCAATCAATCAAGGTCTTAAAGAATATATTTGTGTCAGTACGTATTGCCAATTTTACCGCATACAATTTACATAATGTAATTAATTTAACAGTATGTACTAAGTTCTAATTACCAAATGTCAAATCTTAATTTAATTTCAATTCTCAATTACATAAATGATGATAGCAATATTGCAGGACTATTATAGTCCTGTGAGGTTGTATGAATTTTACAAATAACCCTGTGTATTGAATTTAGTTATAAATGTAGACTACTACAAATACTGTATGTTAATATTTACTATGTAGAAACAAGCTGTATTTTTTTTACTTATTTATAATTTATTTCAGACTGAGGGAAAGCTGCTAAAGTCAAAGGCACTACACTAGTTAATTTCAGAGTCCTAAAACGTGTTTCTGAAGTTAGTGGTGTCGTAGGAAATTTAACGAAAATGAAGACCACTTTATTTAGTAGATATTTTTGATAACTTGCTTGGTATATTATTATTTATTACAAAGATGGAACAAAAAGAAACATTCCTTCAATCCGGCTGGACCTTGCGAATTTCTCTATCTGCTTGTTGCATGGAGATCTTTGTTTGTGATTTTAACGACATTTTTTCCGTAGCGCCATCCTTGTGAGAAGTCTACGAAACTTCGATCTATCTACTAATAATTATGTTAAACCTGCTTGGTTTCAATGGGAACATCCTGGCCGCTGTATGGTAGATGCGACAGTTATTCAAATAACTGTCAAAGTATTATTTGTCTGTGTCAGTCTGTGCTTCCAAAATTATAATAAATTACAACATACTAAGTAAAGTATTTTTTAAGTATTGTGATTTGATTGTGATGTAAATGTTTTTTTATTATATTTATTTATTTAATTTCACAAAAATAATTTAAGGCCATGATTGTAAAACATATTACTTGGTATATTGTTCAGGAGTACTTTTTTATATATTAACTATGTTTCATAGTGCATTGGGCACACGCATACTATGTTAAAATTATTTATTGAACATTTTACCTAATACATAGCGCTCAAATACCCAGTGCAAATAAGCGGCTAACTTAATTTTACAACTTATAGTAAATATTTTATTTGATTTTCGTTCGTTGACAGACAATCCAAGGAAGTTTTACTTTTTTAAATTTATAGCAATTTATAGCAAGCAAGCTTGTAAGTAATATAATAATAATAAGTTACCCCTTCACCCCTAAGGTCAGTGAGGATGACGGACGATTTTTTGTAGTGACAAGGTAATGGTCTGGTCGTAAACAGTATATTTATTTCGACACAGGATAACGAATTTTACGCCCCGGTGTTTAGGAACACTTTTTATAATCTATTGTACAGTGAATATTTTCAACGTAATCACGTATTTTAGCATTCACCTTACATAACTATTTAACGATAACTTACAACTATTTCTAGATTAGTGCTAGCTGACATTACGAGAGTTTGGGTTGTAGTTCCCAAATGGGCCTAATACAGATTGGGAACTTCACAGTCATTGCTTTGCAGAAATGTGCAGGTTTACTCACGACGTTTTCCTTCGACGAAAAACTCACGGTAAATTTTAAATTAAATCTCGCACATCATAAATTTCGAAACTCAGAGTTGCAAGCCCGGACTCGAACCCACGGCCTTTTGCTTGAGCGGCGATAGATCCAACCATTAGACTACCACGGCTTAAAAAGTTTTTTACTTAGAATTTAGGATTTCATACAACACAGATACTCTATATTGTACACTAGATAAAAAAATGTTGCCCCCTTTTTTTAATTTTTTAACTCAATCCTGTCCGATCGAGGTTTTCAGTCTTTGACTTTTGTTTTATCTAACTTATTCTTCTAGCAATATATTTAATGTATTGCATTTATATTAAACTAGCTGGTGCCCGCGACTTCGTCTGTAAGTAAGTACTTCGAATAGCCTAACCAAACTTTCATCCCATATTTCACCCCTTCTAACATTTATTTTTATGAAAAATTGTAGTCTATGTGTAAAAATGTTAGACACACGTCTTCTACATGTATCTCTGTACCAAAATTCATCAATAGTAGTTCAGTGGTTTAGATGTGAATTTGTAACAGACAGAGTTAATTTCGCATTTCTAATATTAGTTTGGTTTATATTGTATATGTGCAATATGAGATAAAGAAATTTCTATTATATTCTATTTTCAAATCAAAAACCTCAAGGGGTTTGTGATTAGTTATCAATTCAAATTCGTGCAGTTTGTGTAATGTTCCTAAATGATAACGTTAAATGTTCTATGGCCCACCCACCCAAAGACCCAAAGCTAATGCCTCTTTTCAGTCTAGCATAAAACAGTCCTATATCTTTCTACATAAGTTTTGTTTATAGTGCCCCTCCCTATCAACCTTTTGGTTATGCGGGAAGGGCACTATGACCTGTACAAGCGAACTTGCACAGGGGTCCCTGTGTCATCTAAGTCAGGTCCTAACCCCGGATCAGCACGTTTGCACGCACTTCATCCGGTTCTCTGTAAGGCTAGTGCCTTAGGTGAGTCGCCCCGAGTGCACGTACAAGTACCCTCCCTATTTTCCAGATAGGTATCGGAGCTGTAGGCACGCTCACTTCCCGTCGCCGAATGAACGGCGTCTCTCCAGTTCCCAAATTCCTATGCGGCCAGAAGGACCGGAAGACGTCTAGCTCATCCTCTACTAGCTCTTCGGGCTAGTGCTGGAGATGCCAAGTGGTAGTGTCCTGCGACAATGTTCGGACATAGCCACCGACTTAAAGGGCAACTCACGCGTCTCCTCGCCTCAGGCCCTCAACTAGACCGCTACTAAGATGCGCTAGCTCCAGCGCGGGACGAACGCCCCGGTCTCCATCTACCGGGGCAGACGATCGTGCTCGTCCCTGCAGCTAACCACAAACTCCGGCGAGTCCATACCCAAGTCCGGGTCCGCCAGAGACGCCCGTGAAGACGTATCATTGGCGGAGGGCTTGGCCCGGACGCCCACCGTACCCTGGTCTTGCCGTCGAGCCCGTAGTCTCTCCGGAAAACCCTATCTCTCGGGTCGGTAAATAGGGACTACTAAAACTAAAAAATATTAGTATAAAACAGTAAAATATTTACACTTACAGTGGCAAGAATTTCATGTCGTTTGCGGGCCTGTAGCATCGTAATCTTCTGTACATGATCGAGCGCCGTGTGCCGGAAGCATGACCTCGTTGCAAGCAACAGATTTACTATTTCCTCCGCATCTTGCGGTTTATGACGAGACACCTGTTACAAATTATTTACCTTTAAACACTGGCCAGTGCATTGACCTCAGTGTAAAACTCATTGATGACGTAGTTAAGTAAATTAGACAGAAAAAATAAATGAAGATGGCTTCCTCAAATGAGCAGCAGATATCATACTTATACAAGTTCTTATAATGTCAAGGCTAAATTAGTATTTTTTGTAAACAACATCGCCGTAATAGATGTACATCGTTTTGCACATATGTAACGTGTATTCCTATTAATTCAATTAAAGTGCGTGGTAAAGCCTCGTGTTAGAAGGCAATGTACGCAAAAATTCCCTAAACGTAACAAAGCACGTGATTTATTCCTTCTACTCAGTGTTCGTTTAGTCGAAATTGTTACTTATGCAGAAGTTACCTGTGAATTTCTGTTTAGAGCTATATCCAGATCATTTGAGATTTTCTCGAAGTGATGTTTGCTTTCCTTAACACCTTTAATGTCTCTGTAAGAAATAATAACAAATTAATTGTGAGTTTAAAAAAGTTAGAGCGGTTACACACGGCGATTTTCAGCAGCGAGTCTCCAGCGATTCCGTCGGTAATCGCCGACACAATCGCGATGCACATACGATGCACGTTTTTAGTTATTCAACATAAGCGAAGGCATCGATGCAACCACCTATAAATTGCTAGTGCCGCGATGCAACCGCGCGTTACATAAACACGCGTTTGTATTTCTGCTAAAAGTAGCCGTGTGTAACCGCTCTTAAATGGAAATATACTATTTCTGTATTTGAATACGGTTCTATTTCGTGCCTAATGATCATAAATTTCCGTAACAAGAGTTAGAAGAGTACCAGACATGAAAGTAAAAGGTTTGTTTGTGGGTAACTTTATCGATTCGCAAGTTATTCCATCCTATCACTGAAGAATGCTTAGATATGTATAGGCAATTACGCAGCATATTGTATTGTCTTTTGTCTTGGTCTTGATTGTCTCTGCAATTTATATTTGTGTGTAACAAAGAGTGTTAGTATTCTATTCCATAAACCAACGTTTCTTAAAATATAATTAACATATTCAATTGCAATAAACTACTTTAATTGGTAGTCTTTTTAACAAGGTGTCTGTAATATATTCGCTTGATCTTAAGAGGTCCTTAGGTTACTACCCCAGGGACAAACAAATTAAGAATTTAACCACTGTGCTAAGTATCCTTCATCTTCTTCACCTTAGTGTGGCGCTTTTCTATGAAGGTTCGCGACCATAATGGCAATCCCTATTTTTGAAGCTGCCGCACGAAAGGGGCAAGTGTGCTAAGGTTGAACCAGCCTCTCAGATTCTTCAACCAGAAGGTTTTCATTACGCCTCGACTACGTTTTCCTTGGATTTTCCCAAGTTTGTTTTATGAGTGCTTGTACAGGGTCAAGAGCACGTCAAATTTGACACTTGACTTAAATCCAACTCTATGCCGCTTACGATAAGAACGCGGTCCAAAGTACAAAGTGTCAAGCTTGATGTGCTTTTGACTGTACTAAAGCAACTAAAATTCCAGGCAAGCAAATTTAAAACATTTCGGACGCAGATACGATATTATCGATATCGTTTTGTGGATGACCACTCCACCTTCCGTGGGCGCTGTAATCTAACTACATGACATAAACATTGTTTTGCTGCCGATCACTTGAATTAAATAATGTTCTTTGTTTTTCTTTTTATATTTACATGTTTTTCCCTATTCTCTCGTAAATTAATTAGTCTACTTGTGATTATGGAATATTATTATCAGTGGATATAATGTAAGATTTTTGGCAATCTACACCAGTGAGGAATCTCTAGTTAAAATGCCGTAACTTACTTAGGAATATTCAGTATTTCTGTAGAAGAATTATATATATTACATAGACTTCACGCCGCAAAGACTACAGCATTCCAATTGCCACGATCCTGACATACGACAATTTTCAATATGATGATAAATGTGTGTCCTATGTCACGTTGGTTTCATTTGTGAGATCTAAACATACTTAACTGCCTAATGGCAGAAATTACTGCTTAATGGCAGGAAAGGGAGTGTGGCAGTACCTACTTCCCTGGGCAAACTCTTTCACAAGGAGCTCTACTGCTACTGAATGACACTTATGACAATATAATCTTTAAGTTAATATATAATTTCTATTTATTTAATATTACTTACAAAGGTTGATAAGTACGTGTAACAATGCCACCAAAATTCATTTTACAAAGTATTTTTTTCTGAAGCGATTATGAGCACTAAAGCATTTAACCAGCAGAATTAATTATAATTTCTTAAAACAATATGGCTTCAGGTTAAACATGAACATGGATGGCACTATGTTTAGACGTCATAAACACGTCTGTACGTACTCGGTACATTGTGACTCATATTGTTGACCTAACTTGTAAACAGATTACACTCTCTAGATAAAACAACCAATATAACCTTTTGTTTGTCCTGTCACACGACTATGCTTCTGTTAAATCAGAATATATCATTTTTTTGTTTTTTTATGTTACCGAGAGACGGGACGAACAAGTCGTGCGCCTGGTGGAAAGCGACACGCCTGTCCATAGCAGTTGCTGTGCCGTTCAGAGTTTTAAATCACAAAGATCAGAGAGGGAATGCCACTGCACCCGTCACTTCGAGACATAAGTTGGCAAGTCCCATGTGCCTATAATTTCTGCATCACCCTTAAACTTCAAAACCGAAAAGCATTAATGCTCACATTATTGCTACACGCAGTTTGTTTGGTTGTTGGTATTTTATTGGACTGGAACCTACGTAAGTGCCATCGAGGGTGGTGAAATTTGCGGTAGAAATAAATCCCCACCAAGCAGCATTGATGTGTTCCGATTGTGCCACATCCGGCAATACTATTGCGATGATAAGGATACTTTCTTTGTATTGCAAATGTCCAATGTTACCATTATTTATCAGGTGAACCATCTGACTGAATGTCGAAAAGAAAACCAAACTTATATTATCATGCAGCACTGAAATTAAGTTACTTATAAAGTTATTAGTTAGTTAATAATCTCAGTCACAGGCAAGCTATTACTTATTTCGTCGGGGATAGTGCAAAGGCGCGAGGCATTGGCAAAAGGCGCGTATCTTCACGAGATCAAATTTTACAGGAGAGGGTTTAAACGTTATTACTTTGTTATTTCAATGGCTACGACCTTCATTTTTGCACAGTAAGCACTAATTTAAGTTACTTACGGACTGATAATAGATTCCAGTAAATAAGGCTAATTTGGTTGCACGACGTCTACGCGGATTTGGTTTGACCACTAACTTACCGAAGTGGCAACTTCATAACGTATGCTAGTTACGCGTAATTGCACTATCCCCGACAATTTGTTAAATTCGATTTATAGTTTACATTCATGAAGTTGCGTAAATATTATTTTAAGAGTTTGAGAGTAGGTAGTAGATAGGAACAAGCGAAATCATTGAATATATTCAAAAATATGGTAAAAATACACTACCTTAATTTAGTGTGACTTGGACTGCTTAGGTATTGTTATGTTTTGAAATTACGTTTTAGATATTTCATATTTATAGGTATAAGAATATATAGTAGTTTACGATATTCATATATATGTATTGGTTTCATTACTTATTTATAAATATATGTTTATTTGCATTTATTTATCAATTTTTATCTGTTGATTAGTAATTCCTCATACACCGCCGTCTTTTTCCTGTGAATTATATAATTACTTCCATACAAAGGTTGTCTGGCAGAAATCGCTTAAAGCGATAAGACCGCCCATTGTACCACCGCTTATTTTTTAATTTAATTGTATTGTATTTGTTTCCTTTTTTGGTGTACAATAAAGAATTTTTGTATTGTATTGTATTGTAGGCAAAAAACATGTTCCAATAATTTAATCTATCAGAAATTTATTTAGTTTATTATACTGGCTATCAGTAATACTTTTTATAACAAATTATATATAGATATATAAATTATAAATATATAAAGACTTGTAATCTTGACATCATTATCATTATTTATTGCAATAAATTAATTTGTGTTAATACCACAAATTTGGGACCAACATCCTGCTTTCGTTATTTGGCATTGTAATTATTAGTACTTTTAATTGACTTCTCAAAAGGTTCTCATTTAGACTAATTTTTTTTGTGTGTTGCTACATGATTACTCCGGGCTCCGATTTCAGAACCAATTTTGATAATTCTTTTTTTGAAGAAAATATAACTATATATAAGATATAAAAGAAAATATATGAAGAATAAATATACCTCTACAGTAGCAAATAAGGGATTTATTGAATTTAACCCACTTTCCATTAACCAATTTCAGTAGATGTAATTTCAATGAATTAAAATGAAAAACCCTCGACAGTGTACAGCATATCAAGAATAACCCTCCATAAAGGTATAAAAACTTCCCATAATAGCACATGGACAATCCTGATGGTTTGTAGACAGGTTCGAGAAGCACTCCCAATGCTCAACACCAGTTTATCTCGAAAATTTCTCCAACACTAAAGGCAAGAGCTTCGCACTCTAACTGCCGCCCTGACGGGCCATGGTTCATATAATAAACAATTTTTCAATGTAGGTATCTTAGACAGTACTCCCTCGTGTCGGGGGACTTTCATATGCGGTAACGAACACAGTGAAAGCGGACAAGTAAACTTTTGAGCTTAGTTTTTTATAAAAAAGTTATAAGGTGAAACATCCATTATTATTGTGGCTATTAGCTAGTATTATAATGTTACAAGTATATTTTCCATTGTTACAAATATTTTATATAATTATATAAAACAACAAAACAAAAGAATTATTATATAATATCTTTATATTAATATTTTAAAAGTGGGAAATGAAACTATTTTTCCGGATTTAATCCGCGTATATTTGTATTTTCAAACAAACCGACGTTTTGGGCCCTTTACAGGTCCTATGGTCACGGTTGACTTGGATTTAAATCCGGAAAAATAGTTTCATTTCCTATGTGTAACAATCGCGAAAACCTAAGAACTCAATATTTTAAAAGTAGTCAACAGCTATTGCAGTTTCAAAACAGCCGATACTGTAGTTTAGTTAATTTGTAGATTTGCTGTGCCATAGCCAGCTTATGGTCAGCAAAGTGATAAATATTAAGCTTAAAAAATTACTTAGTAAAAATAAAAATATATAAATGCTTTGTGATATTAACAGTATTTCAAAACTAAACATTATGCTTATTGTATGCTAACACAAAAGGTGAGAGATATAACAATGAGGAATAATTAATGACGTGGATGTGTATTTAATGGGGGATCAAAGATGTAACATTTATAGACTTTTGAGCACGTGCAAAATGTATAGCATTCTCATGTTGTTTATTCAGTTAATGGTTTCAAACCTTTCACTGACAAGTCAATAGTAGATACTATTTTAAATGTATGCAATTAGTGTTAAATTTTGCATGCGCTAATATTCCTACAACAGTTACCTCATTCAGTCAGTATCAAATTATAATCTTTGTTTATGAAGGCTGGTAATCATTATTTTAATATTTACCCTATATTATTATTATGGCTGAGTAAAAGCAATTGTTATGTAAGGCTATTTACTTATAGCCCATTTATTGCAAATAATAAGATTAGGAAAGAAGATTGAGTTTTACAAAATTATGTCAACATTGAAAAAACTTACACTTTAATAAAAGCTGTGAGATTCTTCAAGACAGTCCTAGAAGCCTGGTCCAGTAGAATGGAATGGTACTTATTCATCTCCTGCAGTGCATGAATCATGCGGTTTAAGGCTGCCATCACAGTGGGGTCCTCGGAGAAACTGCCAGTTAAGTCCCAGAGGGCATTTGCAAAAGTGCTACAAAATTTTTAACACTTTAGTGGAACATGAAAGAATACAAATTGTCATACATAGTATCACACCAGTCTTTCATGACTATGGCTGCGACTATGTGCTTTGATTTGCAACAATACTTGCAGACTTCTTTATTTTACATATAGGTGTATTATCAATCTAGGTATAGATTTGCTCACATTGAATGGCAAAAGCAACAGAGAACATTTGATAGTCAAACTGAGTTAAATCCTGTGACTTAAGAGGTAGAATTAAAGGCAATTGGTTAAACATAACTACGCTGACGCCACCCATGTCTTATAAGTGTTAAAAGTGATAAAAAAAAGAACTAAGGTATATAAAAAACTTTACTTAATAGTATGTTTTTTGTACAATACAAAAAATAGGCATCTGATCTGTTTTTTATTAATTCAAATAAGTAGTAGAGTACAACAAAAACATGATTCCAAGGTGAAATTTGCTTGCCTATGAATGACAGAGATTTGATAAATAAGAATACCATGGTATATGGTAAGTTGAGGAGCTTCAGAACAAAAACTGATAAATCTGATAAATTTTAATTCAAACTTTGTCTAGTCTCATTGAATGGATTTATGATTGAGTTCAGAACTGTGCATTTGAAATGTAGTTTGAATAAGGACTTAGGAGCTGCAGTTCAAGTTGGATAAATTATTCATAGAAATGTACAAAAATCACCATTTGGCTTTAAAGAAGAACAAGTTAAAATGTGAGTTACCAGTTTCTGTACCAATGCTCTATGTGTGACCTAACTAAAATGTGATCAACCACACATTTTTTTCAGAATTAACTCTTAATTTGCGGTTACCGTGGATATGAGACAGACCTATTTCCGGTTCTTATGGACGGCCAATTAACTTCAGCAAGTTAAGAGTTAAAGGCAACTACACTCACAAATGTACGAACTGTGCATATTTTTGAACCTATGTACCGATATTAGCCCTTAAAGTAGGAATAAAGTAATTTTAAATCCAAGTTTATATTTTTATCAGGTTGTATTGCAATGAGGAATAAATAATTTAATTCATTATTAATAATACAAAAGAACTCGGTTATTCCATTGTTCCGTTTGCTGTAGCCATAGGTTTTAATGTACGAGCACTTAAAAAACATATACGAAAAATACTACACATAATATGCGTTATTAACTAGGCATAAAAACAAAAAAAAAGGAACTTGGAAGTTTAATAAAAAAGAAAGTGGACCAGTGCTTACCCTCTATGAGTCATGTACGTTTTGCCCGACTCCACCATTAAAGAACATGACTTCAAAACTTTATCCAATTTCAGTTCCAGCGAGTCAATACTCGCCTCCTCAGTCTCCAGTTGTTCTCTACAACGAATAAGGGCCGTTTACACAACAATTGAACACACAACACGAACGAAAATTCACTTTCTACCCATAAAAAACAAGCACAACTTTCCTTCATTCTAATATTACCTGAATTTAGGGGAATCTCTGAGACATTCATCAAAATCAATTAACGGCTTCATTGTGAACACTACAGACACGCTAGCTGGAAGAGTATGGGATAAGAAAAATAATTGTCTACAACATTTTCTACCACCGAACAATAAATCCGCACTTCCACCTTCCTCTTCTCCAACTGACAGCTAATTTTCAATGTTGCCAGTATGCTACAAACTATATTACAACAAACAATATATTTGTGTATCCGAAAGTTTAAACAGAGGTTAGTGTAATTAATTTGAAAAATATTTCCTTTGACACCAATGTTTGACGCCTAAACTTTTGTCAGGATTAGTTAAAAATAGTTAAAAATTAATAAATTAAATATAATTTATTCATAAAAAAATTATCCTCAATCCATAATTAGCGGAACAATTATAAAGAAAAGCTTTTATCAGGTGGGTGTCAAACAGTGCTGCCAGATTAGGCGATTTTTCGCCAATTAGGCTACTTCGAAGGGTCGCGCGGCGATGAAGAAAGTGATCGACGACTCGGCGATATTTAGGCTATGTTTGAAATAGGAAAAGGCGATTTTAGGCTACTTAATAAAATGTGTGGGGGAATCACAAAATTGATTGGGGATTTTGTGGGAAATGGAGTTGTAAAATAACTCATTTGGGAGTTTGAGTATTTCTACGTGTGGGAAATGGGCAGCAAGCAGAATTGTAGAATTATTTTCCTTGGTTTTTAGGGATTTTATGGTTTGGCCGAATTTCAGCTTTGTAACACGATAAATTGGCGAATTAACTACGCAAGGATCTGGCAGCACTGGAGTCAAATATGTCAATGTTTCGGCTGAAGAACTTTGCTTCCATGGCCAGCAATAAATTAAAAAAAAATATATGTCAATGTCAAAACAACAAAAGTTTTTTAGTTGCAGTACTTATTTCGTAAATTCTTTCATATTTCTTTTCAAATAAAAGACACAATAAGAAATATTATTTTATGGTTAATAGTGTTACATTCGTTAAGTAAACTATTTGTTTGTATGAAAGTTTGAAGTGAATTTTACATGGCTGCTTTAATCATGTTGGCGTGTGATATTCTCATTCTTTGAGTCAACTTTTAAACCGGAACTTGTTTACCTTGGATTTTCAAATCAGATCGCAAAATGGTAGCGGAGAAGAACATAATAAATAAAAAGAGGCATTTGAAAAATGATCAGTTAGTAACAGTCTTACTTTGTGCACTTGCAATACCTTTATCCATGTCCCTGTGGATAATTAATATAATTTATTCAAAGTTTTTAATGGAGCATGAAGGCCTTGATGGTAAGTACATTATTATATATTTTCCTTTGTTTCTACACCTACCAATAAGCAGAATCAGTTTTAATTAATTGCACTTTTGATAGATTTTGTATTTTTTTCAGAACCTGTAGTAATCTCACCAGCGCGATGGCTCGCGTCCTGCTTTATTCCCGTAATAATAGCTTTTTATGGCTATAAAAAAGGCAGCGTAAACCTCAGTGGTGCTTTACTGGGTATCTTGGTTGCATTTGTTCTCACATTGAGCAATTTTAGCTTTTTGGCATCTCTGTTCACCTTCTTCCTGTCTTCCTCTAAAGCTACAAAATTCCGGTCACATTTAAAAAGAAAGATTGAAGAGGATTTTAAAGAAGGTATATGATTTTTTTATAGTTTTTACAGCATAATTTTTTTACATTGAAGTTTTATGAAGCTGTATTTGAATGTTACTCAAGCAAAACACCGACTCATCAACAAATTTAAACTTATTAAAATAATGAGTTGACTAAAGTAGTCAGTAGTAAATATTTTTCACAAGTATTCAAAATTGCTTATATGAGAAGAATGTTAATAATAATGTTGTTGATATTGGTTAATGCAGTGTAGAGTCAATGGTTATCTTGAGTACTGATTGCTACCAGTGGAAATGCAAATAGGCATACAAATGTATTTAAAACATCTAAAGATAAAGACTTTGTTTCTGTGTGTCTATCAAAGTATATTTTTGTTTTGAAGTTGGCTGACTGTTATTCAAATTTTGTAATTGATTTTTGATTCAACTACAATAAAAAAAACTATCTAAACCATCTCATAAGTCATATCTTGTCAGCGACTGATAGCTGTAAAGGTACCTGGCTGATTGAAGAAAAACTTTCATAGATTACTCACAAACGGCGCTACAGCAAAAAGTTGTTAAAAATCAGGAACAAATAACAGGAAAAATTCGTAATATATGCAGGTTAATTCCATAGGTCAGTTGGGAGAGAGTCAGCCACAGTATGTTGAAGGTGCTGGTTTGATACCAGCCAACTATTGAATTTCATGGTTGTAAAAATTGTGATATTCAATGAACTTAATATTAAAACTATCTAAGTACAAATATGTGTACACACCATCACACCTGTCTTTTTTTTATAATAACACAATCCTTTCTAAATATTTCAGGAGGCCAAAGAAACTGGTTACAAGTTCTTTGTAATGGTGGAATGGCAACTCAAATTGGGCTGCTATATTTACTTGATGTTGGAGCTTCTGAGAGACCAATAGACTTTGGAAAGGATTACAGAGCTTCCTGGCTATCTATGAGTGTGCTTGGTGAGTAGGTTGTTTGTTGGTTTTTCTTATATTGATATGAGATGACAAGAACCAGACAATTATTCAACAATATTCTTCACTCAGTGTTAAGAAATAAATGTAGTGTGAAACAAATTTCACATCTTGAAATGTTGTGTGTGAAACAGTGTGTTTTAATATATTCTTAAAAGCTTGAAACATATTGGTATGAAATAATAATAGTAACTATATCTATTTTATTGAATGTCATGAAATTATTATTTTGTGTGTAAATACTCCAATAGTTTCTTGTTATTATTGATTTTTGTTTGTAAACATTGTAAAAACACAAAAATTTCTTCAGTCTTGCTGTTAAGTTCAGCCAGATCGAAGAAATGTTTGTCCAGTCACTTTTTCGCCAAACCAATGGCTGATAGGAGATGGCGCTTTATTAATTGCAATAATTAGCTGTATTGTAGCTGTAAAGGTACCCAAAGGCTCGTGCAGCATGCGGGCGACTAGCGACGTAACATTACCAGTGACTGACCATAGCTTAGTGAATTTTCGAATAAATATCGTGCTTGCAGAGAAAATACATATGGATCAGAACTTTTTTGTTGGAAAATTCTGTTCTACGGGTCCGTGTCATAGGAAGAAGATTTAATATGCATCCAATTAATATTCTGCGCCGATTACGAACTGCATCAATGAATGGGTCTATTATTATAATGTTAATTACTTACAGAAGTAATTAAAATTATAATTATAGTAGGTATGTAATTATAACAATCTAATAATAATAGGAATATTAATGACTACGACTGATCGCTGTAAGTCTCACGACCAATCAATGGTCGCCGGTCGCGGGCAGTGTTGCCAGACTTTTGCGAAGTTAATTCGCCAATTTATGTTTGTTAAGTAGTCGATATACGATCAAACCATAAAATCCCTAAAAATCAAGGAAAACAATTCTACAATTCTGCTTGCTGCTGGACATTGGGGAATATGAACTCTCTTATTTCCTCAATTCCCCACACATAGAAATACTCAAACTCCCAAATGAGTTATTTTACAACTCCATTCCCCACAAAATCCCCAATGAAATTTGTAATTCCTCAGACATCTATAATCGTCGTTTCTTATTTCAAACATAGCCTAAATATCGCCGAGTCGCCGATCACTTTTTTAGTTGCCGCGCGACCCCTCGAAGTAGCCTACATGTTAAAATAAGTCGCAGCGATTCGGTGCGACCGCAGTCGCGAAATATCGCCGAGCACGAGCCCTTACTGAGAGAAGAAAAAGGTTTCTCACTGGTGGCGCTACGGTAAAAAATCTGTAACAAGAACATAGAGAAATTCGTAGGGTCTGCTAATTAATTAATAACAGCTCATTGGGAGGCCGATAGCCCCAGTATGGCCGATAGCCCCAGTATGGCGAAAAAGTCGTCGAGTGCAGCTGGATCGTAGGCATTTTTGTTTGTTTGATCTTTGCGTCAATAATAATATTAACTGAAATAGTTAATGTTAACAATATTTTCGATAATTTTTATTTATTTTTGTTATGTTATTTTTGTCCAGTAGGTTTATACATATATCCCTATAGTCAAAGCTGTTGTTTGATACAATTACCTCTTCAATTTACATGATAACTCATGAAATATTATGTTTAAAGTATTCAGACATATGCTTTGTTATTACAATGCATATGAAGCAGTTATTTTATGTTTCACAGGTGTTTTTGCATGCTGCAATGGCGACACCTGGGCTTCAGAACTCGGCACTGTTCTGTCAAAGTCTGATCCATTTCTAGTCACTTCATTCAAGAGAGTGCCAAAGGGTACAAATGGAGGGATAACACTCATTGGCACATTGTGCAGTACCATTGGAGGTCTAGTCATTGGGTTGTCTCAGTATTTAACTATGCTGTACTTTACTGATAAGACTATGCTTATGTATGCACCGCCTCAGTGGCCGATGATTGTGTTTGGAGCGTTTGCTGGATTTTTGGGTAGTTTGATAGATTCTTTTATGGGAGCTACACTTCAGTATTCTGGTAAATATACTTTACTATTCTTATTTTGTGATTGAAAAAAGTATATCTTTTTATATCACGATTTCTGGTTGCAGGTCTCGACACCGAAGGGAAAATAGTATCTCATCCAAATCAAACTACTGTGCATGTGAGTGGCAGAAGTATTTTGGACAATCACAGTGTAAACCTCATATCAACTGTAGTAATGGGCCTGCTTATGCCTACGATAAGCAGAAGCTTATGGCATCTGTTCTAAAATGTTCAACACAAACAAAATTGTTGTTTTTAAAAGATCAAATAATAAATATCATAATAAAACCTAGTAGATTTTGTTAAGAAAAAGTACTTAAAATAGTAATGAAATATTAATTTATTATTTTTGAATAAAGTGATAAAATTAAAATTGTTTCATTTTTGAGATGTTAATAAGAAATACTGGTAGTTAAAAAACATTGGGTTTGTATGCCTACATTGTTCATTCAACTTGATCAAAGCTAAGGAGTGGTCAATGCCCTCCTTGAAGCGTCCATAGAAGGCTTTCAGCTCCTTCCACTAAATAATAAATTTCCCCATCCAAAGTTCCCAGAGTTCTAGGCATGATACCCTTAGGCACTGCTGTGCCTATCCTTTGACGAAATTGTCTACCTATAAGTAAAAAAAATTAAGGACTGTTTCTGTATTAATCGTATCATTTTATTTCTATGTTTTATCACCATTCGTATTATAGAAATACTTGTTGTTGTCTTCATAATTTTCTTTTTGCTTAATGGCGCTACCCTTTAGATTTCGCCAGTATCGAGTTTTCTGCTTAGTAATCTAAGTTGCAGAGCTGTTGAATTACCTGAAAGGGACAGAGAACAATATATATAGACAAATGTTAGTAGGTAAGTATGATAAGCAGGACGAACAAATTATAATTTTATGTTATTGCTGGTTATACTTGAGTATGATTTCAATCACTGGAAATACGACCCTAATGGCAAGGACTTGAGTATGATTTTTAGTGCTTTGAATCATACTCAAGTCCTGACTGGAGTATTGAGCACAGTTTTAGAATATGACCGACCTTAAAAATCGTATTAAAATTTGTGTCGTCATAATGTGACTAGAGTCAAGACACAATTGTCAATTGCAAGTGTATTCGAATTTATGTGATCTGACAGCTGTCAGTTGAAAATATCAAACTGACATTTCCAGCTGGTTTGTTGGAAGGTGGATTTTTCTTTGTTTTGGTACTCTATTTGAACGCGAAAATACTAGGTAATGTGTGACTCATTCATGGCCCAAATTAATGAGATTTGAATTATTCTTGTTACTTTCTTTCACGGTGTGTTGAATGAGAATTCGTGTGAAGTTAGTGGAATACGGTATGGTGCTTTCGTAACGTCTTGTGAAGTGATAATGTCATCGAGCATGGAGGAGAGTCCCATCATCAATTCGGACATTGAGACTAATGTTACGAGTGATCTTCGGAACCTCGTCGAAAATGAGCCTAGTGAGTAACAAGTACTATATATATAAGCATATAAGTACAGTGCGTCCAGTTGGTTTTGTTTATCAATGTCATTGAAGGCCATGACAACAAAAATATTAGATAACGGTGTTCTGGACTGTAGCGCATTACGAGAACAACGATTTTGCCATTATTTCCTGTTAGAAATAATAAAAGTGTTCTGTCCATTTCTGTTTATTATGTTGGTAAATTTTATTACTTTGTGAGTTGTTTGAATACAAATTCATATTCATCATCATTTTTACATTAATTAAGTTGAAAAAATAACAAACACAAAGTAAAATATTTATGGAAGACATGAGTATACATTTTAAATTCTCTGTTTAGTCATTAAATGAAACAAATAAAGGATGACGTGACAATAGTATTTGAATTTGAGTTATCACTATTTGACAAAGAACATTTCTTTGAACTTCATCTGTATTTTGCTGAATTATCATTATAAAAAGTTTTAAATATTAATAACTTTTGTTTCTAGTTGAACAAACAGCAGGATGGATCAAATGCCGCACTGTACTCGGTATTATGGGTTTCCTGGGATTTGCAAACGTGTATGCAATGCGAGTCAACCTGTCTGTTGCAATTGTAGCTATGGTGAACTCTACGGGCAATAATCCGTTGCCATCTAATGCTACTCCACTTGATGTCTGTCCAGTTAGTCCTCCGGATAATAGTTCTACACCTGTTGTAAGTATGAGTTATAATAGTGTAAGATAGTCACGGCAATTGTTTTGGAAGTTTCGAAATCCCTGCAATAATATATAATATACACTTCACTGCATAGAGGAGTACTGCCACTATACCTTATGTTGTTCTGATTTTGAAGAGTAAGGGTGCTGATGAAACTACATGTGCATGGGTCTTGTCCATTATAGTGCAATGGCTTAGCCCCGGAAATTTGTGTTAAAATATAAGTAGCACTGAAATTCTTATGAGTAAGCACATGCTTACAACCAGCACACAACTTGGCACAACTTGTTGGTCCCATCATTTGATATCTTAACAAAGAGATTCAGGAACCAAAAACATTGTTGGAAACAAGTATTTATTATTCTGAGTACTCACTCATGATACAGGGTAAAATCAACTCTATGCTGCTTACAAAAAGAACATCCAACATATTAAGCTTCAAGTGCTCTTGACTGTACAGTCTTTTAAAAGTAGTATAATAAAAGAGTCCACACTCTAAGATAATAGGCTTTCTTTACTGTGTTATATTGGTATAGCACCTTAATGAAATGCCTAAATATATATTTACAAGTCGCCTCTTTACAGAGACCAGGTGAATTCAACTGGACAGCAGAACAACAAAGTATAATATTAGGATCATTCTTTTATGGATATGTTTTAACACAGGTATGTATATTGTGGGCACAGTGCTTATATTTTTTCTCTAAGAACCATAATCATATTACAATTTGACAGATAACATGTACCTCCAAAGTTATTCGCTAATTTTCTTGTAATTGGCAGAACACATTAAAAAATATTTTCAGGTGCCCGGTGGCAGAATAGCTGAATTATTTGGAGGCAAACTAGTTTATGGAGTAGGAGTATTATTGACAGCTTTGTTCACCCTACTTAGCCCAATAGCAGCAAGGGTTGATTTCACATTTTTCATTGCTGTGCGTGCATTAGAAGGCCTAGGAGAAGGTGTCACCTATCCAGCTATGCACGCTATGTTGGCCAGATGGATACCTCCCCTGGAGAGGTCTAAATTTGCTGCATATGTTTATGCTGGTAAGATTTTTAGTCAAATTAGTTATATACGGAGAGACCTCTAGTTGGATTACACCAACCTTTTCTAGAGATGTTTTGATGAATTAAAGAATGCTTCTACATACATGCACTGTAGAACTATGTTTATGAAAAATACAATATGGAGACAATATTTTAAAGTTTTTAATTTTCATTCAATATATTACTATCAACAACAATTACATAACTACTTAAAATTTTATGAAAACTGGCAACCCTACAAATGTCATTTTACTCCATGTTCAAAAAAGACTATAAATTGAAAGCATTATGAAATTATTTGAATTTATGCCTACATACAATTGTTAAGTCCATTATAATCTACTTTAGTCTTTTTTACAGTAGTTAATAATACTCATAATTAATTAAAGAAATTAAAGCTAAGGGCGCCTTCAAATTAGACCCTTGTAGAAGCGTCTAATTTGAAGGCATCTAATTTAAACCAAAAAGTATTGACAAAATATTTGCCAAAAATTTGTTTGTGACATTACAACTTTTACGGAACTATACAACGTACATACTTGAACGGAGCACGTCTCTGCCGTTGTTAGTTAAGAAATCAAAATCAATTTCAAGAAATACATGCAAACTGATTGAAGTGTTAAAACATTTTTGAGTCATAATTTATAAGCATCTGAAGTGGTGCAATTAGAGATATTTACTCTGGTACCTAGTGATAGTGTGACTTAGTTTCAAACTGACTAATTTGTGTGATTGTCAGGCACGTTGTACTTATTACTCATTTTATATTACAGGTTCAAATATAGGAACGGTAATATCTCTGCCATTGTCTGGGTGGCTATGTACTCTGCAGTTGGACAATGGTTGGCCACTTTGCTTCTATGTGTTTGGAGGACTGGGCATTATATGGTTCATAGCATGGATGTTTTTAGTGTACGACACGCCACAGAGTCATCCTAGGATATGTCCAAAAGAAGTGGAATATATCACACTGGCTATTGGACCTCAGGTAACTAAGTGTATTGTTCGATTTTGAAGGAATTTATAATTAGATGCGCGTTTTAGAGTTACTATTGTTGTTGAAATGCGTGAAGTGATTGCTATTTTTTTAAAATATGTCTGTAGTTTTCTTTTATAGTGGTTAATATAATACACATTATTTTAAATTGTTATGTTGTACAAAAGTCAAAATTGTCATATTTACTACTACATTATTATAATGCTTTCAAACGTAATATGCCTTTATAAAAATTGGAATAATTTTTATGTTGAGTTACTTAGTTAAAATTTATTTATTTATTCCATTTTAAATTTGGAAAATAACAGCTCAAATGACATTGATGTATCTGATTGATGATTTATCTTAGACTCCATCCTCTAAGTGATTTATGCGAATTCAGTATTCTAACTAAGTGACTGTAGACACTAATGTTTCATGTTAAAAAAGTTTAGATCATCAAAACAGCAGCAAATAATAAAGCTTGTTTGCATTAGATACTTCACAAGCATTGTCCACAGAAGTGAGTTCAGTATTTAGGTATTATGAATACATTATCGTGAATTTGTGTCGGTGATTCATACACGCGCGCGCTGATCTCACAGATGTGTGTATTTGTATTGATTAAACTCTGACTGTATAATTTATATGATACAGAAATTGTTTCTATTTCATTAGTTTATAATGTCATAATGGCACCTGCTATTTTTATTAATATAAGGACTTATGTTCAATTTTTTGGCATTGGTTTCGAGTTAAAACAGCACACCGTTGTTGCGCTATTCAATTGAGCATTTCGATCTCGGCTCTTATCGTACTTTGCGAAAACAGACATAAACAAATAACGTAGTGAGCTATAGACGTCCTGCAACGAGGTGGGCAGATGGCATCATCAAAATCGCTGGGCGTTGATAAGTGAGACTGACACTGGATCCTGGTGAATGTTACAAACTAAGGGACATATAGCTACCTAACGGTGGGTAAAATCGGGCAGTAGAAGTTGATTATGAATTATAAAACGTAGGTTGTATAATATACTAGCAATGTACGGGCTTCTAAAATTATTGGTATTCAAGATAACTAGAACTTGATAATTTACCTACAGCTACGTTTAGCCAGGGCTGGTACCTGTAAAGGTTCCTAACGGGGTGACGAAATACTTTCATAGACTTCTCATAGATAGCGCTACGACTAAGAAGTTGAAAACCAAATACAAAGATCCAACAACAAGCACATAGAAAAATTCGTGAGGCCGCTGGTTCGTTCCGTAGCTTTATTGGCACGCCTGAGACGGTTTGCTAGGAGACGTCGGTTCGAATCCGGCCAGATCGAAGGCATTTTTTGTATTTATGTGTTCGATCTTTGTATTAATAATTATAACTAACGAGTGGAGTAATTTCACAAAAATTAATTGAATATCATGGTGGTGGAACATACTCACATAAGAGGACCCATTTTTTTTGTAAACCGTCAACAATGCGTTGTTGTCTCCAAAATTACAAATAATGAATTATTCGAATTCAAGACAGTACCTAAAATCAAAACTCATGGAGTTCCACGGGGAAGTGTGATAGGGCCGATTTTGTTCCTGCTGTACATAAATTATATTATAGACAGAACAAAACATCAAAGCATATTATTTGCTGACGACATATCTATTATTGTAACTTCTAGTAGAAAGACAACAACAATGAGAGACCATGAACTAGACATAAACAATATAATTCTTGACAAAATCGATTGGCTACATTCAAATAACAGATAAGCAAATCAAACCATATACAATTTAATAAATCTAAACATACTAAATATAATTTCAATTTAAATATCGATGCAATTCAAGAAATATCCCACACAAAATTTCTTGGAGTAACCATTGACCAAGAACTAAACTGGAAAACTGTTATACCATGTTTTAAGCAAATAAACGAATTATTGTTACTATTATATCTAACAATCGATTTTTCAGAGGAGTGAAAGAGACAGTATTTTACTACGGCAAGTGAACTCAACGATGACAGCTTGTCTCATTGAATAAAATAGTCAAGCGTTCGTTCTGCGTTAATGAAAAAGACGTTAAAGTTATAATAATAATGTTACACCAAATACCTGGTTTTACACCAGAGTAACGAATTTAACTCCGGAGGCATTGCCCCGAAAACTCAGAGAACCAATTTAAAATTTCATAAATTGGCCCTACAGAGAATCAAACACGGATATACTCATTAAGCGCTAACTACAGGGCCACTGAGGTCATCTAAATCGTGTTTGTATTATGTCTCGTTTAATATTTACTAAAGTTCTTTAATTTCAGGAGGACAAAAGTGGAGTATCCATACCGTGGCTGAGGTTCCTAACATGTGTACCTCTATGGGCCATACTGATCGCACAGTGCGGGCAGTCGTGGCTATTCTACACACAGCTCACGGAGTTGCCTACCTACATGCACAATATATTACACTTTGATATTATATCCGTGAGTGCATGATGCCAATCTTGACTAAATTATAAACATTAGTGTTTCCTTGACAACAGCTTGCACGCAGAATTGACGTCACACTTGCATATATTTTCGACGACCTCCGCGGTCGAGTGACTCGCTCATTGCTTTTCATTGTCCTTTTTAATTTTATTGTCTAAAATAAATCTAGATAGATAGTGTAACAGTCAACAGCGATTTAAGCCTACATTATTATTTTTCTACTTTTGTTCAAATATCCAATCCAAGGTCAATGTGTAGCTTGATGTAAGGGTGCTGGTGAAATTACAGGCACATGGGACTTGTAAACGTATGTCTCAGGGTGAGGAGCGCAGTGGTTAGTACCCAAAAGATTTTCGCGATTTTCAACTCTTGAGTGGCACTGCAACTGTCATGGATAGGCGCGTTGCTTACCACTGCCTAGTGGTAAGCGAAGCACGACTTGTTCGTCTTGTCACTTGGTATTATAAAAAAAAATAACGATAAGGGTCAAGTAACACGAATTCCGTCGCGCGGAAGAAGATTAAAGGGAGTTCATGAAATTGATTTTTTTTACAGAATGCATGGTATTCAGCCATGCCGTATTTAACAAGCTGGATCGGTGGTATCGGTATCAGTATTTTCGCGGACTGGCTGCTCGCAAGAGGAAATATCTCGCGACTTAATAGTATGAAGCTTTGGAACACTGTTGGTGAGGAATTTGTGCATATTATAAACTGTAATGATGCTTTGATATAAATATGTTGATAATTTTTTTGTGAACTTAATTTTTTTCATAATTATTAATACATAGATCGAACACTTAGAAAAAATTCCTTCGATCTGTCTGTAAAGATATCTAAGTGGGCGACGAAACACTTTCTGCGATTTCTCATAGATGGCGCTACGGATATAAAGTTGTTGAAAACCAAATACAAAGATCCAGCAACAAGCACATATAAAAATTCGTGAGGTCCGCTGGTGGGTTCCGTGACGTAGTTGGCATAGCGTCTGGCACGGTTTTCTAGAAGACGTCGGTTCGAATCCGGCCGGATCGAAGGAATTTTTTGTATTAATAATTATAACAATGGAGTAATAATAAAAGTAGTAATTTTACAAAAAATTATTGAATATCAATTCAATAAAAATTTTATCCTTTTTTTTATTTTACTAACAAAAATTGTTGCTTTTCGACCTAAATATTCACGCCTTCGATTTATCTACTAAATAATAGGACAGCCTGTATATCCACACAGGTTTACGAATTAATTTCTAAACATAGAAAATATATTTTTCGACATGTATTCAGACAGGGCCAGCTCTATTGTGAACAGTCCTTTAAGATATGATTCTTGTGTATTCTATATATTAATAGACTCCGCCGTGACCATGGAACATCTAAAGAATGTTGTAAATTGGATTATAGGTGCAAAGAAAACTCTGAATTAATCTTTTCAATAACACTAAATCACTATATTTTATCGTTAATGTTATCACTAGGAAGGTTTACGGTTTGACTCCTAGCACAGAGTAAAAGTAAAAAAGAAAACATGGTGACATAATTGCATACTTCATATTAAGCGTTTAAAAACGAGTAAAGATTAATTTTTGCATTATAAAATTGAACAAGTCAACGGGTTCTAGAGCCAAACAAATTGTTTCATTTCCGATGTGTAGCGAAAACCTAAGAACTCGAGAAATACTTTCAAGAGTTGTACTATTTGCAGGGGCGTTCGTTCCGGCGATCGGGTTGCTGGGCATTGCATGGGTAGGCTGCGATAGAATGACCGCCATGCTGCTTCTCAATATTACCTCCTTCTTCGGCGGTGCCGCTTACTCAGGTAAGATTTTTAAATATTAGACAAGGTTATAAAAATAATAGGGGTTAAAGTATGAAATTGCCGATTTGTACTGAAAATCTAAATTGTTTATTTTTTAAATTTTTAACAAATTTATTTAATCAAAATAGTTGCCATTATTATCTATACATTGCTGCCATCTAATGGGAAGGTTATTAATGCCTTTGCGATAGAACTCCGACGATCTAGACTGCACAAACTGTGTGAAAGCATTTTGTACTGCCTCCTGGGAAGAAAACTTCTTGTCACGTAGATAATTGTCCAAATCACGAAAAAAATGGTAGTCCGTTGGAGCAAGGTCTGGTGAATACGGAGGATGACGAATGGTTTCTAACTGCAGTTCCTGAAGGGTCAAAATGGTTTCTCGTGCTGTGTGAGGTCTCGCGTTGTCGTGGAGCAATAATGGTGAAGATCGATTCATGAGTCGGGGCTGTTTTACTGCTAGTTTTGTCAACATGGTTCGGAGTTCGGCACTATAGACATCTGCCGTTATTGCTTGACCAGATCGGAGAAAACTATAGTGAATAACACCATGCTGAGACCACCAAACAGTTACCATTACCTTTTTATTGGTAAGTTTTGCTTTAGGACACTGTTGTGGCATTTGACCTGGGGTCAGCCATTGCATTTTTCTTTTCCGGTTATCATAAAGAATCCACTTTTCATCACATGTTACAATTCGATCCAATATTCCTTCATTTCTGTACCGGTTCAACAAGGCAACACAAGTTTCAACACGCGTTTCTTTCTGCAGATCAGTCAAATCATGAGGCACACATTTTTCGTATTTTTTTATTTTATTGATTTGACGCAAGTGAGTCAATATTGTGGGTAAGGTAACGTTAAACCATGCCGCTAATTCCTGGGTAGTTTGACTAGAATCGGCTTCCACTATCTCTCTTAATTCATCGTTATTCACCTGTGTGGGCGGTCTTCCTCGTGGCTCGTTCTTTAAGTCGAAATTTCCATCACGAAAGCGTTTAAACCAAAATCGCACGGTGCGTTCATTAGTAGACCCCTCTCCAAACGCAGCATTGATATTGCGGGCTGTTTCTGCCGCGTTAGTTCCGCGTCGGAACTCGTATTCAAAAATCACTCGAATTTTCGCAGTATCCATCTTTCTTGTCTAAATTGAATAACAAAAACAATTGAAAGTCGATATTCAAATGTTTCAAATTTAAAAAAAAAAAAAAATCACAGAAACCATTTGAAAAAAGTTTCATTCGAAAACCTCAAACCATGAAGATTCTATGAAAATTCAAAGAACCTATTGCAATAAAACGGCAATTTCATACTTTAACCCCTAATATAAACTATATTGCACTTTACGAATTATTCGGATAATAGGATATTAAAATGAGCTGATGAACGAAAACTGTCTCCCGAAACTCTATTCTAGGTTGAACAATGGATATTAAATATTTGTAAATTCTTTATTAAATAAACTGACCCCCAAAGTTTGTAGAATTACATCTATTTGCCAAGTTTTATTGAAATCGGTTACGGGAAAGTGCGCGAAACTGGATTCGTCCCCTAGTTTGCCACCCTTAGAGTTCAAATATTTTCATCAAATTTAGTGGGACCACTACTGAGATACCCTGTTTCAAAAAAAATCATCAAGAGAATCATCAAAATCGGTTCACAATGCCGGAGTTATCGCGTAATGTAGGTACGTACGTACATACAAAAAAAACAGTCGATTTGAGAACCTCCTCCTTTTTTTGAAGTCGGTTAAAAAATTGATATCAAAGGGACGGGACGAATAAGTCGTGCGCCTGGTAAGCGTCCGTGACAGTTGCAGTGCCACTCAGAGCTTTAAATCGCAAACGTCTGAGGGGCACTACCGCTACACCCGTCACTCTTGAGACAAGTTGATAAGCCCCATGTGCCTATATTTTCACCAAAACCCTTTGAAGAGTATAGGGTAACGCGGTATTGCTCACATTACGCTTGGCGGCAGAAATAGATATGGTGGTAGTACTTAATTACTTGACTGAACATTGCCCTAATACATGTAAAGATGTTCCAACAATTTTCACTTAACATTGTTCTAGGGTATCAAATGAATCATATCGACCTGTCCCCGCAGCTGGCGGGCACAATGTACGGCATAACGAACGCGGCCAGCAATATTTGCGGTTTCATGGCACCATACGTCATCGGACGTATTATAAGCTCTGACCAGGTAATAATATAAAAAGGTGGTCTAAACATTGGCCAGCGTGACAGGCTATGGCTTAAGCCCTCTCCTTAGAAGAGACCTGTGCCCAACAGTGGGTCTAATAATGGGTCAATGATGTTGTGTTACCTTCCCTAGCACCTTACTCTAGCCTAGCATCTTCATAGAAATTGCCTCCGTGACCGAACTTCAGAGTCTTGAAACACTTCCATTACAAGTGTACATGTGTGTAAGTGTGTGTGTATTATATTATTTGCACCTTGCTTTCCTGCTTTTAAATTTCTATCCTAAGGTTGCCTGGAAATCTACTATTTAGTCATAAGGCCGTCTGTTGTACATTAACTTATTTTGTGATGCATACATATCTGTGTTGTCAATGTAATGATATTTTAATGTGCAATAACGATTATTTCATTAATTCATACATTCATTCATTCTATAGCTTGTTACCGTAAGAGTTGATTCTACCTCAGCTCGAATTCAAATTTTTCCCGTTCTAATACGGTTCATTTTGCTTGGGTCGAGCGATAGGGACACTAGTTTTATTTCAGAATTTATTTTTTTACCAACGAAATTAAAGCCATTTGAAAAATGTATATTGTATAGTATACGTGTTCTATTTAGTTCAGTTGACATAAAAACACTTTTTGGTATATGTACACTACCTAATGAATACAGCGGTTTTATTGTAAAATTTCGAGGTAAATTTGTGCTTTGTTCCTATCGTGAAAATTTTTAGGAATCATATTTTCACACCGTGTAGTAATCAGTGGATATCCCCAATTTTATTGTATATTTTTTCTAAAGTGTTTGATTCAACATTTTCACAGTTATGCGGAATCAGCCAAAGCTATTTGCGGTTGTATAGACTAGTTGTTGACATTTTGAGCAAATGATGATCAAGTCTGATACATTGAAGCTTTTTCTAAATATAAACATCACACCCTTGTTACAGCAAACACTAGGGCAGTGGCGCGAGGTGTTCTACTTGGCAGCAGCCATCGATCTAGGAGCCAATCTATTCTACTTATTCTTCGCCAGTACTGAAGAACAGGTAATATTCTACACAATTTTTATATGTCCGTGATAACTTTGAAGTTTTTGGCCACGTAATACTGAATGTCCGCCGACTGAACTTGGATCGCGACTGAATTCTATTCGACAGCATAAATATAGGGTGCAAATGATTTTATGAGTATCTACATAAAAATTACAAGGTCCGAAGTGATGATTATCATTGATAATTTTCATGATAATTATTTTTATTGCCTTGGAACAACAAATCGCTGCCGCTAGCAATGTCGTGTCAAGTGTTTGTATTAGAGCCGCATCCAAACGTGTCGAATGTTTTCCCAAACTTTTATATTCGTGTTTATTTAGTTTTCTCACTGTTTGTAATTTTTAGTCAAAAATTAAAGGGACAAAACTATGAATCAAAATGGATAATTATCGGATTATTATCAGATAATTATCGCGATAATTCTCAAAAGAAATCTTGATTACTTCGAACACTCAAAAATTACGAAAACATTGTGTGCCCCAAGGCGGGTCATAGTGAATCATATGTGTTTCACCTGTGATAAAATATGTTAAAGAAAGAAATGAATTTTAATTTAAACATTCCAATGTATTTTTCTCAGGACTGGTCGCAGCCCGACGACGGATCATTAGACGCAGACGCTCCAGTTGAAAGTATTCTCTATAACGAGTCGTAACCATTGAAATTTAATATATGGCTTATAGTCTAATTGACTGTCTTTAAAATAATCATTTTTAGAGAAAAGTCTTCAAACTTACTATTTTAGGTAATTTTCGATTAGGCCAAAAAGGTAAACAAACATGGGCGATTGAAAAAAAAAAACAGACACACAACTTAACACAAACATTTTCACAAAGAGATTTATTATAATTGAACTAAGTTTTATTTAATATTTTCTAAATACATATTACAATTGCGTAGTGAATATAATGCTAAAAGAACAATTTTTGAACTCAATGCAAGTAACCACGGAATAATAATAAAAAAAAGGTATTGTTTGCTTCGCCAAAGAAGTTAATAATGAAAAGAAATACACATTAATGTTAAGCTACTCAAACATTGCCTAACATTTCTGTCACAAGAATTTTGCTCTGTATAATACAAACAAGTAGTCTTAAATTATCTATGATGCACAAACTGGTAGATAAAAGTGAGGTGCTAAACCGACAATAATAGCTCGTAACACGGCAAAAGTAAAAAGGCATATTTTAGTGCAAAATTACGGAAGTGCTTTGCCCAGTGTTTTGTTCAATTCGAACTCTATACAAAACAATACGATAACTCCTCGCTTTACTTGTTTATGTTGCATTCTGTGTTGTTCAAAATTGTCAAAACATTTTGTATACCATACAGCTTTTACCAGTTAGAAACCAAAATTTAATTACATAAGCTATATGTAAGAATGGTATCAACGTAGTTTAAAAGTGTTTATAATTTTAGACAAAAAGTTATCAAAAGAAATAAAAGAAATGCGACGTTAGAGATGTCATATGAGAATTTAACAATCAGAAATGTCGTCAAACTTTTCTTAACCAGTGGCAAAAAAATAAAAATTACATAACATCTATAAATGGGTTTAAAGTTTGAGAACTTTGCAACGGCGCTTAGGACAAAGTGCTGTTACGAGTGCAGCTATGTGACATATGGCCAAAGATTATTATGACAAAAATAAATCTCATTTATTTTAAAGATTGCATTTCATAGGCCAATATCATTTTAAAAATTCCGAAATTGTACACTAAATTAACTGGCGTTCGGGAGCCAAGTGGATAGTGTGACATTGTTATATTCCGTCTAACCATTTATTTAACTTTTGACAGTTCGAATTCCAATCAATTAGTTATGTCCTAAAACGTTTCCGATTCGATTTTTTATAACAATCGATTTTATTTATGAAGACGTTTTAATCGTGAATGTGAGCGGGTTCAAAAAAGAAAATATTGTCTGATTGGGATTTAATAATGAATATGAGGATTACATTGATGATTCCCGTTCATACGAAGAAGAATCCGACTATTCATTATAATAAACAATAAGAATATATTATAATTATTTAATTTCATTATAATTTATTACACGGGTACCAAAATATATCAACTTGAATAATCTTCGCTACATAATCTGTTGGCTCGATAAATATCGGAGCTAAATAGCACGTCTCATTAAAATTAAAATTAAAATTAAATCTCTTCATTAAAATTAAAACATAAGATCCAGGATTTTGTTGTCTATAGTTGTATGTCAATAATTACGGAACTTCAGAGGCATGATTATGTCAAAAGTTAATAAATGGTTGGACGGAGTATAGGAGTTATAAAAAAAAATGCAGACGTTTGTACATTTGATATCTACAATGCCCGAACAAAAATTTAATCTAAGATCTGGCAAATCCGCCTTCAAATTGGACACTTGTTGAAGTGGCGCGACTGTGGCAGGTCAGCCGCATATCTGTAGGGTTTCAATAATTATTTTTAGTTCACTAATTGGGTCTGCAGAAGTGGCGCGCGCGTGACACGAAACTGCGCTTTTAAATGTTATATGAAAACTAGTAGTGGCGCGGCTGCAGCGCCTCTGTGGCACTACTGTAGCACTTCTATAAGCGTCTTATTTGAAGGCGCCCTAAGGCTGTCCCAACAGACGACAACATTTTACTACTACTTTATGAACGTCCTGCAGTCGTTATCGGAGTACTTATAAAAAAAAGCAATCATGTATTGGGCTAAGAATGCTGCCGCCGTTAATTAAAGGGCGCGTGTGACATATTTTCAAAAAAATATTATGTGTACCTACTACCTTGATAAGTAAAAAAAGTCTATATTCTCACAATCTGTCTATATTTTTATTTTTTCGTAGATAACGCATGAAGTTAGTGCTAGATAAATGTCTATATTCTTTAAATTTAATTTCTTTAAACATTATATTCTCGGTTTTGAATTTATGTCACAAGCGCCCTTTCAACTAATGGCGGTAGAATGGCTGTGTTGTAGTTTGTCTGTATAAAGAGAACAAGAACTGTATTGCGTAGATAAAAAAAATTATATGGACTGTGATTACTTATTAAGAAATAAGTACGTAACGTAGTTATTATCGATTGATATCATTAAAATAAAAATGTATACATTCGTACTATCTTTCGGTCATATCAATTATTTACTTATAAGTTTGGTAAGTACGTACTGTACGTACGTATATCCATAAACCATAACTATGGTTTGTTATTAGAAAAATACGTACACAGAACAGTGCATTTTGATTATTGGCACCTAGTATTTTCTTTTCTTTAAAAAATGTCAATTACGGCAATTTTGCTTAACAATAAACTTAAAATAATTAAGATATAAAAAAACCGCTTATAGGGGGGTATAGACCTCGTTTCGCTGATTCCAGTGTTTTATAACTCAATTTAGCTAAAAATGTCGATTACGTTAGTTATGATAAGGAGGTCAGTTATGTGAAGGCCCTATCTACTAATCATCACGTATATGTCCCATTAGGCACAGGTCGCTTTTGGGGAAAATGTTATAACTCTTAAGACAATTGAAGTCATCAACTTTCATCGAGCCTACATATCGCTACTTTGGTGAAATAGTGACAGAAAATGCGGCTACTGAGCAACTTTTTAAGAGCTTTTCAATGTTGTACTATTTCAATAATTATTATAAATAAAAAATAATATAAAAAACTATCATTCAACACTACGATACATAAAAAAATTAAAATAGTGGCTTAAAATAAATGGGTGTGTTGAAGAAAAGGTAACAGCCTCAGCAATTTGCTGGTTTTCAGGCTTCACCTTGTATATAATATTCATCGCTGTAGACACCGCAGTATGCAGTTTCTAATTAAATATATAATTTAACCCACCGCACACTTATATTCTATTTATTTTGATAGAAATTCCGGTTAACATTTTTATACCAAACTACAAATGATACACGAACCAACCATATTATTATGCCTCTATTTACATATTACGCCCTCTATGGAAAAATGAAGGAATGCATGTTTCTGACTAAAAATTTGCATTTGCAATTATAAAATAGTTATTTTTAGATCTTTTTGTCGTTGAGTCTGTGTTTCACTGGAGGTGCAATATGTGCTAGAAAAACGAGATCCAAAGCCCACCACGCAGCGGACATACTTAACATCGCATTGTTACATTTAGAATTTTAGAGATTTCTTTTTTTACTTACAAAGTCGATACCGACGTCAACATATTAGAGTGCCGTGTCCGCCATTGTTTAAAAAAAAACTCTGTTAGTTTAATGTACACTAAAAAAGTTTGGCACATCATTTAAAAACAGAAAGTTGAATAAATATAGTTTTTTTATAATAAGTAAGTGTAGAAGTATTTTAGATCTGTAGAATGTTATTGTTATTAAAGTAAGGGATCAACTTCAAATAGATTATTTGTATAAAAGAAACTCTGATTACCCGCACTAATTTGGACAAGAAGCTATGGATATCGCCGTTATTAGTATGACGCAGCGATAAAATTCGCTGTGTATCTGTTACCAATGCAAAGGTTTTGTTAAATGATAATATATTTTTGTATTCTTAGGTTTTCGTGATTGTTACACATTGTAAATGAAAGTTTTTTCGGTTCTAAATGGCGTATATTTGTTTTTGCAAACAAACCAGCGTTTCGGGAAGTTTACAGGTTCCATGCACATATGTTGGATTGGTTTGTTTGATAAAAAAATAATACTCGATTTAGATCCAAAAAAATGGTTTCATTTCACAATATATTGGATATTTTTGTGATCTTATAAATTTCGATCCCCGCTGTTGAAAAAGCAATGCGGAAAATAATTGATAAGATATTTGGGGCCAAATATATTAATTACATTTATAACGTTCTATAATAAATTCTACATTTTAACTATTTTCATTCATACCTACACACTATTTACATTCCTGTATCTTTATATCAGTGCTCGGCAAACTAATTAAGCCGAATTTAACAGTGCATCGATTGAAATTTCATTTGAGAGCAAATTTTTTGGTTGAGGTTTTGGTAGTAACTCATATTGTCCCTCTCCTGTCGTCACTGGCAACCTGTTAGGGCTACATCTCTTTATATCTTGCGCTTTATTATTGATTATTTATTTATTACTTCAAAAGTAAAAATCATCTAATTTTCAACTTGTGCAGTGCTATTTGCTAAGTGTCTTGTGATCGCAAATTTATAATGGCAATTACTCATAACGTGAAACTTTATGGATGAAACCAGTATTCGATATGTGATCATTTTTTTTAAACGTTGAGCATGTTTTATTTTGATGTTAATTATAATCTTATTCTGTAATTAAAAAGTGTTTTAGAACAGCTCCTAATATTCTGTTGCGTTAAATTGTTTAAGATAAAAATGTACAAAACAATGTTTAAAACTATACAGGTTGTTATAATAAGGAGGGACACGTCTCTTTGGGCTCAATTTACATTGCGGCGGAACGGAAATAAAAGGAATTTTTGTAACAAAATTGTACATAGCATAATGAACTTATGTCAATTTTGTAATGTACAAATTAGATACCATATTTAGACTAGTAGCCGTAGGATTGCTTTGATTGTTATATATATCTACATCGATCTGTCAAATTCTAGTTGGCAGTTATTTCGAGATCTTGGGATTTTATCTCAACAGAGACCATGCCACCACGCCTGTAACAATAAGATATGAGTGGCAACGCGCGCCGCGATAGCATAACACATGTTTATTTACAAAGAGCAACCCATAGAGGTTCTTGCTCATTCTTCTCAGGGGAATCTACCTTACGAATGAGCGGTAGAGTTTAACCAATGTGACGATTTCAGTGTAATATGTAGACTATTTTGGTTTTGATTTTTTAAGGCTACCGTGACAGCTACGCGCGAAACGCCTTACTAACGAAAAATACTAACGTCATCGATTT